AATATATATGTATGTATATATGTATATATATTATAGATAGATCATAGATGATAGATAATAGATGATAATAGATAGATAGATGATAGATAATAGATGATAATAGATAGATGATAGATGAGAGACTGTAATGCAAAATGAAGTTTGAGGGTCAGAAAGAGCCAAATCATAGCAGAAAGTCTCCTTACCATCTGATGCAGCTAAATAGGGGTTCTTTGGTAGACAGAGATCTGGTATGATATGATTCAGGGAACTGAATTGTATCCTGGGAGCAATGGAGAAGCTAATAGAAAGTATAAGGACAAGATTCTAGGATATCTGTGAGATTTGGGGCATAGTCAGTTGGGTTGATGGTGATGTCTTAAAATGAAGCATTGCTGTGTACTCTTACGTATGTTTTGTGCATGTAATTTCTATCAGCATTAAAATTCCACAAATCTATAGCACATTTAGGGTATCATGCTTCACTCAACTACATGCACCCCACACAATGCCATCTGTGCAGTGAATGGAAAGGGATTTAATTTCCATAAAGTGTGTGCTCCCACTATAGATCTGGGCCATTTATAATAGTTCTGTGTTTGAGACTGAAAACCTTGAACTGTCTGTATTTTTTTTTCTAATAAAGTGATAAAAGAGGGCTGGGGACGGGGGGAAGCAAATCCCTGAAGTTCCTGAAGTTGAGCAAAACAAGGAAATAGAAATTCTTAAGATCATGGTGACAAAGTAATTGTGGACCGAGTTGCCCAGCCTTTGAAGCCCTGGGGACAAGGGAAAAAGCCATCCAGTGCAAGTGGGTGTCTCTTGGTTTCCTGTGGTTCAGGTGAGATTTCACACAGGCCTCTTTGCTCTGTATCCCCTCAGATGAAGGCCTGAAAGTCATCTTTTGCTTGATGTAAACCAGTAGCCAGCAGTGCCTGGGATGTCTCTGAAGAGGAGAACAAGGAGAGCCAGGGTCAGATGATGAGAATTTTCCACTTTATGACAGTGATAGCCTGGAATGCCTAGAATGGTTTATTAGTCTTTACAGAAGACCTATTCCTTAGCTGTGCAGTCTACACTGTAGACCCATCACTCAGTGGAATGTGTGAGTCATTTGTCTCCCCTCCAATGTTTGGGTTACTTCAGGAAAGAATTTACTGACTTGTTGTATAACTGAATTGACTACAAAAGGCTTGTCTACATTTGTTGAAAGCGTTTTTACTTTCTTTGCTTTCAAGGTCATCGTGTGTGTGTTTTAAGTAATTCAAACCTCATTGAGGAGGGTAAAGAAAAAAGTGCAGGGGGGATTGTGTACCAATGAGGGAGTTTTTCTTTTGCTTTTCAAGGAGAGGAGCAAATGGGGCGGGG